GTGTATATACACCTCGTTCGTTATATTCAGTGGAATGTCTGAGTTCTCTCTCTAAACATTCACAACCAAAGGCCCTCGATCCAGTTCTTGTATGTATATGGCGTGTGTTATTTTCTCTCTTTGTGTGTGTTTTTTTTTTAATATTTTTTGTTTTTTTTTCTGAATAAGTTTCAGAGTTTATACGATGAAGTGTATTATCAAGAAATTCTTCTATTCTATCTGGGGCTGAGGTAACAGGATAGGGCGCAGTATATCTTTTTCTGCACGAAACCCAAGAAACATATCTTTGTGTATTGAGTTTTTTATAAATTTTCACAAACCATAAACAACATAAAGATAATAAAGATTGTATAGCCAACAACAACATAGATGTTTGTAAGAAAAAAGGAGGTATTGCTCCCGACACCGTCTTCACTATCCACTGAAAAAAAAAAGATATATTATTTTGGTATATTGTTATCATTCCAATCAATTCATCATTAAGTCCAATATAAGCATTTATAAACATATAAAAAATATGTTTTATATTTTGTAAAGGAAAAATAACTAAAGAAATAAAAACACGTACAATATTATCAAGGAAAGCAGCACGATTAAACATATATCTACCCATAGGGCTTTCAGTAAAGTCTATCCCCAAAAGAACACAAACAGTAGATGTGAAAAAAAGAGATAAAAGAATAGCAGAGAAGGAGAATGCTGTTGCTCCTAATAAAATACCAATAGGGTCAGCTTTTATATATGTTACGAGATCACGCATCAATCGCCATTCAGCACCACGCCTCTTCTCTTCTCCTGTGTTTCCACAACGCATATGAGGAAAACATTCTGGTGTACATTCTCTCTCAGTATCTTCACGATTGGCTGCAGCAACAGATACCTGGGGGGGCATGGTTGTGCTGGGTTTAGGCTTAGTAGTAGTAGGCTGACGCCTCAGCTCCTTGCGGAGGCGTTCATCGGCACCCAGTGAGTCAACGAAAGCATCTATTGAACTTTTTGAGAAAAGTCTCGTCATTGTAAAATAATTCTGAAAGAATATACTGCACACTTGGCGTTTATGGCCTCGATATATATGAAGATGCAGCTGTGCTGCAGAGAGGCCGGGCCGAAGCAGTCGATACAAACAGATGGAAAGCAAGGGTGAAACGCATGACGAGCATGTGCTTCAGTTCATACTTTTAAATATATATATACTAGAATGAATGCACTCAGAAATATAAATAACACAACCACATAGCTAGCAACAGTATACAGCTGACGCCTATATGTTGATGCTGGTGAGCCAGCGTGACGGGGGCCTTGCGCCACGGTGTCCAATGGTCCGCTCGGCTTTGCTGCAGTATATGGCCGCACCGTTTAATTTATTTTGCAGTTTAATAAATATCAATGTTTATATATATAATTTATATTCATAAATGAGAAAAAACGGAGGAAATTGAAGCTGAAACGGCTACAAACGCTCATACCGCAACCAGCCACCACCGGCTGTTCGTCATGTTGTATGTCTAATAGGAATTAGGATTTTGTATTTTTATTGTATCTTTCACAAATATATATAAAATAT